CTGTGCCCAGGTAATGGCTTCCTCCTGTGCGCTGCCAGTAGTCACCTGGGCCAGTCCTCAGGGATACTCCACAATCTCCTCCTGTCTGCCCCTGGTATCCCCATAAAGATGGCACATGTGGGATCCAGGAAAACAAGGATCACCATCACCCAGAGCTTGGTCTTAAAACAGGTCTCAAATAACTTAACCTTATTATTCTTTTTATTTCTTGGACAATGTATCAGAAAACCATTTTGCTTGTTGGTATTAAAATGATGAAAAATTTGAACACATAGACTTAAAAATAATTATCCCAAATCCCAACTCCCTTAAATACCAATGGTTATCATCTATAATAATAAAAGTATAATATGCTAATTAGACTGGATGAATCTGGGGCTGTGAGGAAAGCCTGCGTCCCGGGTGCCTGCCAGAGGGCAGAGGGAAGCCCAGGTCCTGGTGCCAGAGGGAAGCCGGTGCTGGCAGCCAGGGGAAGGAAGGTCTACTCTTGCACAATGAATTTCGTGCATCAGGCCTCTAGTTTGGTATATAAATCTCCAGACCATTTTCCCCTGGAAATACATGCATCTTTTACAGAAATGAGGTAAGCCTACACACGCATTTCTCTAGCCACCTTTTCCATTTGAGGCACTTCACACAGCCCTCCCTACCTCTTGGTGTGAATTCCCCTTACCTCATGGCTGTTTGCTGTGCATGGTGTCATCTGCCATCAAACCTTCTGGCATGGGACACGTGGGTTGCTCCAAATTTTCTATATTATAAATAGAAATTGTTTGCAGATTTTAGGGTTCATTGTTAGCAAGAATTGCCAGCCCCGGTGAGTGTCTGCACCCCCACATTGAAGGGCTTCTTTGGCCTTCATCTCTCCTGACCTTCCACAACATTCAGCATGGTTGTCAACAGCTTCCTGGGAAACTGTTTCTCCCCTGAACCCAGAAACGCCAGTGCTTCTTGCTTGTTTTCTGTCCCCTTTGCCAGCTCTCCTGCCACGTTGGTGGTCCACAGGCTATCCTCTCCTCACCCCACTTTCCTTCAGACCATTTCATCCACCTCCTACCCTGGCTTCAGTAATAATAGCAGCATTTATTGAGGGTTTAAATTAAATTATCTCACTTAATATTCCAACTAACATAGAAGACAGGAGCCTTTATGACCCTATTTTCTCATCTCTCAGGCATATCTACCTGTCCTTTATTAATTTTCAAAATTTGGGGAACCATTGGCTCACATATTTTGCCTGATTTTTCAATTGCTTTAGTTGGGAGGGTAAGTTCCGTCCCTGCTGCCACATAGTTGAGGTCAGCAGTCCTGACTCCTACTCAAACCTGAGAGGTGGTGGCTCTGTGTCCAAGGCCACACAGACACGAGCTCACATACTTGAGTGCTAAGAACTTAACTGGCAGGCTGCATTGCTATATAGACAAGCTACATGCCAGTGATCCCCAAACCTCCACCTGCAGGCCTGTCCCCTCTGCTCAGCTGGCATTGCTTCATCCTCATGTCACCATCTCCAAGCATGTCAGTCTCCACACGTCCAACTCTGATGGCTCCCAGATCTCACACTCCCTATCTCTGCACATGACACCCCCATCTGGCCAGCTGCCAAGGCCAGAAACTCCTCTCATCATTCTCCCTTGTGCCCTTCAGCTCATGACTCCACTAGTCCTGTTGGGAGAGGAGGAATTTGGACTCCCAAATATCTGACCCCAGAACATGAATGTGTTACTCTACTAGGCAAAAGGGGCAAGGAACCTGAGATGGAAGATTATGCTGGATTACCCAGTGGCCCCAATGTAATCACAAGGTCTTTATAAGAGGAAGACAAGAGGTTTGAAGTCAGAGAGAAGATGACGTGATGGAAGCAGAGGTCAGAGAGAGAGATTTGAAGGTGATACGTTGCTGGCTTTCAAGATGGAGGCAGAGGCCACCAGCTGAGGAGGGATTGGGGGGAGCGGGTGGCTATAGAGGCTGAAAGAGACCAGGCATGGATTTTGCCTGAGAACCTTCAGAGGGCACAGTCCTGCCAACCTTTGTGTTGGGGCTTCTGACTTCCAGAACTGTCAGATAGTGTATCTGTGTTGTTTTCAGTCACTAAGTGTGTCATGACCTGTTACAGCAGCCATGAGAAACTCATGCAGACGATGTGGTGAGTAGGCACGTGGCCTCCAGCATCTGACTGCCCGAGTTCCAGCCCAGCCATGGTCATATATTGGCATGAGTGTGAGCCATTCACCTAACTTCTCTGTGCCTCAGATACTCATTTTATAAAATGCTGATAAAAAACAAACACCCACTTTATAGGCTTATTTGAATATTAAATGCATTATTCCAGCAGAAATGCTGGTGAGCTCTGGATGGGGGAGTGGTCTTTATTATTTTTGCTGTAATTGTTCTTACCCACCACCTCCTATACATGCCAGACCTCCTCCATCCCCATGCCCTTGACCCAGACCTGACCTTCCTCATGCTTCTTGAGGGGTCCCCCTGTGAGGCATGGGTCTGACTCCGTCTCAGTCGTTCTCCTGCCAGCCTTCCAGGGCATCTCTGCCCTCAAGGTGAAGACCAGAACCGTCCCAGAAGGCCTCACACAGACAGGCTCTGGGCACTTTCCCTCACCACTCACTTTTCCTTTCTTTCAGTTTCTTCAAACTTGCTGAGCTTGCCTTTGCCAGCCCTTGCTGGACAGACTACTCTGCTCCTCCTTCACCATCCGACCCTCACCACCTCACCTAATGGGCCCACTCCCTGCTCACAGAAGCCCTCCCTGGCCACACCCTCAGGTGAGGTCCCAGTTGTATATTCCTGTGGCCCTGCACTACTGGGACCCCCATGTCTATAATGACATGTCCAGTGCTTGTTATCCCCTGTGCAAGCCCACAATGGGCATAGAGCCAGTCCTGACAATCAGTGGTCAGCAGACGTCAGTGAGGACTTAGATCGTGCCTCATGTAGGCAGAACAACCCTACAACTCAATTGACTGTTGCACTACTTTCTTGCTTGTATGCAGAGCCAAGGGGGGAGGGAACATTTCTCATCAGCTCACTTACCAGGTCTGACTTTGCTCAGCTGACGAGTGGCACACGGGGTGCTCCTAGGCCTCGGCTATCACCCCCAGCATGGAGCCACCTGCCCGTGTCTGAGTGAGTGAGTGAGTGAGTGAGTGAAGGGCCCTGACATCCTGCCCACACCTTTCTCCAGGGACTATCCAAGAAGGGACAGCTGTGGGGAAACCAGCACTTGGGGTGCTTGTCCTTACGCCAGGGGAGGAAGGGCCTGGAACCAGTGCCCACCCCAGCCTGCAGCCTGTGGAGGAGGTCCTTGGCCAGCTGTGGTGAACTCCTTCAGCATCTTGAAGGAAAACATTCCCAAGCTTTGATGGTGAAGGCCTTCAGGTCTGTCTCCCCTCCTAGGCTCGGCAGGTGTGATGAGCAGACAGAAGTCCCCCATATCTGTCAGCAGAGCAATGTCCCCCACCTTTAGCCCATTCCCACACAGCACCCCAGGAAACAGCATCTTGCATCAGCCACAGGGATGCTTGTGGAGGGGCTGCCTCTGGGAAGCAGTCTCTTGCAGGTGCTGGACCTTGGAGTGGGAGATCCTTTGAAACTTCACGGTGTCTTGGAGAAATGAGGGAAGTTACGCTTCTGTGTTGCATGCTCTCATTCTGCCAGGCACTTCGTTGTTTAAACAAGAAAGAATAGAATTTCTAACTTCTTAGAGGTTGTAGATGTGCTGTGGTTTCTGGCACCTTTCATGATCCCTGGTGGAAGAGGGAAGTCGACCACCCAGGAGGGATTGGAAGGTTGCCTTAGCACATGTAGCTCATCAGCTAAGCAAGGGCAGTGAATAGAGTTTTACTAGTTCCCTGGGGCTGCTGTAACAGTACCACAAACTGGGTGGCTTAACGCAACAGTTCTGGAAGCCAGAAGTCCAAAATCAAGGTGTTGGTGGGCAGGATTGGTTGCTTCTGGAGGTTGAGGGAGAATCCATCCCAGACCTCTCTCCCAGCGTCTGGTGGCTGCCAGCAATCCTTGGTGTTCCTGAGCTTAGAGATGCATCTCTCCAGTTTCTACCTTGTTCTTCAAATGGCTTTCCTTCCTCTCAGGTCTCTCTGTCCTCCTTTTCTTTCTCTCATGAGGACACTTGTCATTGGATTTAGGGCCCATTCTATTCAAGGGTAATCTCATTTTAGGATCCTTACCTATTTCTACAAAGACCTTTATTCCAATAAGGCCACCTTCACAGCCACTAGGGGCTATAACTTGGACATATCTTTTGGGGGGCACAATTCAGTTCATTGTGGCTGGGTCTACAGGGGCCTCTATGCAGGAATCGCCTCAGCGAGATTATGCACAGCCCAGATCTCTCTGCTGGCCCTTAACCACTTCTCTCAGCTGGCGTAGCATACACCTGATTGTAAGGAACTATCTAGAAGCAGACGTCCCTCCAGTCATCTCCTTGCACAATAAACCCTGAAGCTTTGAGTCCCTCAGGGCTGCGGTGGGAGATGCTAGACTCTGTCAGTCCTGTTGCCTTACAACCTGCCCTCTGTCCACAGCCAAAGGACCAGCTTTCTGTAGAGATTACTCTTCAGTTCCTGGGAATGCAATTTTTCAATGAGCGCAGGCTTTATAGCATGAAAGGTTTTGTCTGGATTTTCTTTTTACAAACACAAGAATAATTCATTCAGGCTCTAGGAATAAAGATGCACTTCCCGAAACTGCCTTCTTCCATATTCAGCACAGAGTGGTGCTGAGGGACCCAAATGCAGTCACAGAAAGGGGTTCTGAGCAGCTGCTCCAGGAGGGCTCTGGAGAGCTGCCGTGGGCCTGTCATTGGGCGCCAAGCTCTCCCCAGTATATGGTGAAAAAAGTCATTAACAACCCAGGCAAGTAGACCCTGAGGGGAGGACACATGCTTCGTGATGCCATGCGACGTTGTCTTTCTCCTTACTGGGCAGGGCCACCTGTCAGCTCACTCTCTTCTTGTCTGTTTACAGGACTCCTCCTCTGCCGGATCCAGCCCAGCGGCTGAACTGCAGGACATGGCTCCCAAAGGGCAGCTGCCTCTCAATGTGTGAGCTGCTGTTTGTGTTTTGGGACCCCATGCCCTCAGCATCTCCATCTCACCCTGCCAGCATGGAAATGTGTGGTTTCTATGGGGGCCTCATGTGTTACTAGTTGGTCAGTTTATTTTATTTATTTTTTAAATATTTTAATTGATTTCAGAGAGAGAGGAAGGGAGAAGGATAGAGAGATAGAAATATCAATGAGAGAGAAACATTTATCACCTGCCTCACACATGCCCCCTACTGGGGATCAAGCCTACAACTCAGGCATGTGCCCTGACCCGCAATCAAACTGTGACCTCCTGGTTCATGGATCAACACTCAACCACTGAGCCACACCAGCAGCCCACTAGTTGCTCAGTTTTAATTATGTGCATCTAATAATAGTACTGACAGGAAAGTGCAGAAAAGTTTAACAGGATTTTAAATGTTATTGTCCCTAGGACATTTATTATGAGCAGAGGGCATAATCAAAATATTTGATGATACAGGCACTGGCCAATCAGGAGAGGACCAACCATAGCAAAGAGAACACCTCACAGGCCCCTGAGAAGGTGTGGGCTGCATGCCAGAGTGGGAGGATGCTGGTGCAGTGGGAGGTCGTGGGGTCTTCATGGTGGTTAGTTACTAGCTGCTCAGAGTAGCTCAGTATCTTAATAGCTGTCACTGCCATACCCATGCACAGAATCTGTGTGTCACAGCCAAATACACCCTGATGAGTCATTGCTGGAAGTGACATGCTTTTCTTGCTTAGAACCTACTCTTGTTAAATTACAGTTCTTAAAAGATACGTGCAGTATAAAAACTCCCCACTTAAATAGCGTTCTGAAGAATTAGACTGTCTTCTACTCTTTTGTTTGCAATGAGCCAGTTACCTGAATGAATGATCTAAGGTGGAGAGTAAGAATTTGGTCAATAATTGGGGAAGGGAAATGTTCACAGATACTACGCAGTCAGAAGGACACTTGGGAATCTGTGTTGGTGCAGAACAGAATATATTTCAAGCAAAATGCCTCTTGAAAAAGCAACTTGCCAAGTTCCAGAAGGTTTCTTAGAAGTAGCTTAAATACCTGGTACATGCGTCCCTGCCTCCCTCGGCCTAGTGGAAGCATTTCCCTTACGTGGGGACAGGGAGGGAATCATGAACATCCTCCGTTTTTTTGCCCACAATGCTGTGAGTTGGTTATTATCATTCAGGTAAGCAAAAGGAGATTGAGGCTCACCTATAGTTAACCTAGCTTCCCGAGGGGAGCATTAGTATACTGCCTTCTAGATGTCTTTAGGCTGAAACCCACGTTTTCACCAACACTGGACAGAAGGTGCTGTCTTCTGACTGGGTCTCCTGGGTAAGCTCCAATGGCTTCCACTCAGACCTGGGCTGAGGTGGCATGTGGGGAAGGATGGTGGTGATGATCTTGCTCTTCTAACACTGGATTTCCTTTCCCTGAGAAAATAGATCTTCATCCACAGGAGACCCTTGGGCCCTCATGGACTTCCCCAATTGAGAGGCAGGACACCGGGAACTCTTGCAGAACAAGGCCCAGGTGTCCCACTTTTGGGTCTCAAAATGAATGCCCAGCACACAGGCTTTCAACAGATGTTTACTTGTTCAATGAGAGCCACAGCCTTACCCCTCCTCGGTTCAGAGGACTCCCGGTGTTGGCCCAAAGTCCCCAACTCTGCATCAAACCAGCCACCCAAGAAGGCTGCTCTGTCTTTGAGACCCAAAAGGTAGCACAGTTCCAAGAATACCACTCCCAGGTATGTGAGTACATTTTGCAGACCACACCACGCACAGACCTCCCATCCCTTGCAGGCTTTTCAATTTTGTGTGGAGATGGAAAGACCTCTTTTCCCACCCCGCCCCACTCTGCCATTGGGGACCCCATCCCCCTGCCCTCTCCTTCTCTGTCTCCTCCCAGAGCATGGCTGTCCGTGTCTGGGTTGATTTTCATTTGGAAGGAAAGTCTAACAGAAGGAAGACTTCCATGTCAAATACTGTCTTTGAAAGGATGATAAGCATTTTGGCAGAGATGTGTCTGCTGGTCACAGTGGTCATCTGAGAAGCAGAAGGACCATGGCCAGCAATGCTGGAGACTGGTTCATTGTGTGCTTCGCATGGCTGTTTGTACCGAGTGCCAAGTACCATGGCAAGTAATATCTCATATGTTACAGCGCTATGCACAATCCACTTTGAGAATATGACCTTTGAAATCACAGTTTTTATTTTATTACTAGGGAGAAAACGATCCAATGACCTCTTTGGTTTATCAGATTAACCTGATCACTCATCTATCCTTTTTAGCTATAAGAAGTTAGTGGTCCGTGCATGCCGGTGGCAGGCATGTAGGGTGGGAATGTGGTTGTTCTCTGTCTGTCTGTCCTTCCCAAAACAGTAGCAGTAGTCATGCTCAAAGATGATCTGAGGTTGTGCATGATAGGGACGCCTGCACAGAGTCAAAGGTGGCAGTGAGCATGCTACTGTGATCCGGGGGTCTGTGACACACACCGACCGGGCTATAAGAAGGTCTGTGACAGAACGACTCCAGTCATCTGCGTCCATGCAGGGTTTGCCTTCTGCAGGTCAAGTCACATGCTCTGAAGTGTGAGCCCATATAATTGAAAGGCCTAATCGCTCAGGTCAGCCAATGGTCGAAGAGTGTTCTTACCCTCTTCTTCTAGCATATAAAAGTTCCCATGGGCACTGATTGTCTAAGGCTTTGGTTTTCTTAAAACACCAGGGGGGCCCTGACCAGTTTGACTCAGTGAATAGAGCATCGGGCTGTGGACTGAAGGGTCCCAGGTTCGATTCTGGTCAAGGGCATGTACCTTGGTTGTGGGCACATCCCCAGTAGGGAGTGTGCAGGAGGCAGCTGATGGATGTTTTTCTCTCATCGATGTTTCCAACTCTCTATCCCTCTCCCCTCCTCTCTGTAAAAAAATCAATAAAATCTACTTAAAAAAAAAAAAAAACACAAACCCACAAAGAGGGATCTCAGTTTGCTTACCCAGTGCAGGAGGCGGCTGCTCATCACTCCCATGACACACTGAGGCCTGCAGGAGCCCACACCCTCCCTTCTCACTGCCTGGCATTGGGAGGCCACTCAAAGTCCACTCCCTGGCCCGGGTTTGTCTGCTCTTCATCTGCCTGCCTTGTAGGGCTTCCTGGGGCATAAATGTCTGGTCCTGGAGGCCACACTTCAGGTCGGAGCAGCACTTATAAATAGGCCACCACTTGGGCTGTGAGTGAATCTTACCTCCACTTCTCCGTGGGTTTCTCAGATGAGGTGAGTGAAGGACCTGTGGGAACAGGAAGGGGTCACCAAACCGTCTTCTAATGTTTACACAGTCTGTGATGGTGGGAACCATGCCTCACATGGGACGGGATCGCTTCTACCCAGATTCATAACACAGGGATGGCTCTGCACCTTGGCTGCAGTGGGATTGACCAGTGTGAGCTCAGTACATTAAGACCCGGTAATGTAAGTCCCTGCTCTGTGGTGAGGCGCCAGGGGAGTGACCCCATGATCCAGCCTCCTCTGACAGCACCCCGCTTGTGGGAAGCTCCTGCAGCAGCACGGTACCTGCCCTCCTGCACTCTGTTATGCTGATCACCTTCAGGGAGAGAGCAGAACCAGGCCCCGGCCGGAAAGGAGTGGAGAAGAATGTGCAGGGGAAGGGCAGAAAGTCACCCTGAACAGAGTGGGAGCCTGTGGGCAGAGTGTGGGCACTTGTGAAGGTGCCAGCAGGGCCAACTGACAGAAAGCCAGCGTGGAGGCCTATAGGTGCCGGTGGGTCCTCAGCAGCACTAGTGCTAAGTCGGGTTTCCTGCCGCAGTTGGAGGACTGCCCTGCATTGGGGGAGGACTGCCGCTGGGAGTCAGGCCTGTGAGGGAGCAAGCACTGAGCTGTACTTGGGGGAAGCCCAGCTGATCCTCAGGGGAATCTGGAGCCCGGATGGCACCTCAGCTTCCCCAACCACAGAGAGCCCTGTGGGCTTCAGGCAGCCCTTGGGAGGGGCAACGTCTAGTGAATCTGCGTCTGCAGGGAACTGCCTCACAATTCTATCAGCTCACAACTAACCATTCTCAAACCCCAAGCAGCAAAGCACCTGCAGCGTTTCCTAGTCCTCAGAGTGCCCTGGGAGGCTGGGGTCAGGTCTCTAGGTCTGTTACAGAGGGGCTTGCCGTGGCTCTTGGCAGCTTGGAGGCCCACTTTCTGGGCCCTAAGTGGGAATTTCCACCACTAAGTTTGTTCTCTCCTTGTCTTCAAATAAACTTGCTTTAAAAAAAGAAAAAAGTAGAATTTAAATAATTAGTTGTGGGACAAATATTGCAAGGAAGAATGTAACCAAGAATTCCCTACCCAGGCTGCCTTTTCTCTAGGCAGGGCCTTGAGGCCTCTGCCAGCTCAGATCGATGTCAGGCCGGGCCGGAGACTAAACCAGGAAAACCCATTCCAGCTTGTTCTCTTGCTCCCTGTTTTTCCTAAAGATTTCTTTTGCCCGGAGCACCAAGTTATAGACAGTGTAGAAAATGGTAAACAAACAAACAAAAACAGGGGGGGCCCTAAGACCTGGCCCCAGATCTACTTCTGACACCCCAGGGCCTCTCACGGCTCAAGGAGCCTCACTGAGCTGTCAGGTCAGAAAGGTGCTCCTGGCTGCACACTTGCTTGGGTAGGCGCAGGGCTGGGCATGGCCCTGGGCTCCAGGATCAAGGCAGAGCTCTGCCCCTTCCCTGCCAGTGCCTCCCTGGACCTGCAGTGCTGGGAATGCCTCTCCCCCAGCCTCATTGCTTTACTGGGAAGAGCAGATCACATGCTGTGTGTGCCAGTCCCCAGAGGCATCAGCTACTCTTAAGTTGGGTTCACCCACAGAAGAGCTCACATGTGACTCGGGGGACACAGTGGCTCTATGCCCGCCCTGCCTGCCACTACTGATCCTGGCCCTGCTTCTTCTGCCTGCAGGTACCTGGCACTCTACACCTACAAGCCCCAGAAGAGTGACGAGCTAGAGCTGCGCAAGGGCGAGATGTACTGCGTCCTGGAGAAGTGTCAGGACGGCTGGTTCAAGGGCACGTCCCTGAGGTCTGGGCTCTCTGGGGTGTTCCCAGGAAACTATGTGACTCCTGCTTCCAGGTGAGGTCGTAGTAGCTGCCTGGGAGAGGAGGGAGGATCCCCCCCTCCCATTTCCCTGCAGCTGTCATCACTGGGCCACCCAAAAACACAGTTCAGAAGGCAGCCAGGAAGCCCCTGCCTGTGGGGTTCGGCCCTGTGAGCTCAGAGTCCCCTTAAACAAAGGTTCTAGGTAGCAAGCATTTCCCCTTCTGAATTAGGTTTGCTTGTCTTTCCCAGAACAGACACTGGCTGCCCAGAGTGAGGGTGGGAGCAGAATGAGCTGCAGTCAGGGCAGTAGCAGTAAGTGGAGGCAGAGTCACCAAGGAGGGCGAGACTCACAGGTCTGGGTGTGGGTGTGGATTTGGGGGGGCGGGGTTCCTGTGCACAGTGAGAGTACAGCGGGCACATATGCTGTCACATGGACCTGCTCTACATGAAACATGCATACATGCATATGTGCAAAGGAAAAGTGATGTACTCCCCAAAGTCAGCAATTGTTATTAATTGGTAGCATTATAGATAAAAGTTTTTCTTCCTTGTGCTTTCCTTTGTCTTAAAAAAATGTCTGTTATATTTTTTTAAATATATTTTATTGATTTTTTACAGGGAGGAAGGGAGAGGGATAGTTAGAAACATCGATGAGAGAGAAACATTGATCAGCTGCCTCCTGCACACTCCCTACTGGGGATGTGCCTGCAACCAAGGTGCATGCCCTTGACCGGAATTGAACCTGGGACCCTTGAGTCCACAGGCCGATCCTCTATCCACTGAGCCAAACCTGTTAGAACATGTTATATTATTTTTATTAAAACAGAGCAATTTTAAAAATTCACTGAAAATGTTATCCAGAGTTGTCTGAGAATTTCCCATTAAGATGAGGACACTGCTTGATCTTCAGTCAATCTCACTCAGGGAAGCCCATTACCGGTTCAGAGCTGCGTCAGCATCCAGGGCACATAAGAAAACTGGAGACGTGGCCCTTGTACTCCCTTTGAAACAAGACTGCTGTGAAAAAAATTAAACAGTGCTTACATGTTACATTGGTGCTAGAGATCCATACTTCTAAGCGCCCAAGGGGCAGTGCCAGCCTGGAGGTAGGCTCACACCTCTTGTCATTTCTGGGAAGGCCCATAATTTGCAAGCCCACTTTATTTAATTTTAAAAAATTTCCTAGGGAAAAAGTGAGATCAGCAGGTATCAGATGTGATTTTTTAAATGTGATGGTTTTGGCTGGCCAGCTGACAGGTTCATACTAGAAGTGAATTTCAAGGCAGCTCTACAACTAGTGAGGGAAGGTGCTGCCCAGTCCCTGGACAGTTGGGTCCTTCCCTAGGGGGCTTTCCCCAGAGCTGTTCTGTAGAAACCTGACTCAATGACCATTTGAAGTCAGACCCAATGGTACCAAGCCACCTGGTGAGGGGCCTCTGGCCTGGCCCAGAGCCACGCCCGGCAGAGCCTGTTCTCTCCCAGGTGTGGCTTCTGGTGTCTCATGACTGAGATCCCAAGAAGACAAAGGGGAGTTTACTGAGCTCTTGGACAAATGGAAGAGATTCCAATCCCCTGACACTAAACACCTTGCAAAACCCGCCTCCACTGTATTCTGAACCCGACAGCACAAATATGCAAAGTGTGCAAGTGTGAACAGCCCATCTTCCAAATTGCTGTTTTCCATTGGTTTTTCTTAAACACTCTACACTGGTTTCATCTGGAAACCGTGGGCTGGAAGGGCATTTATTTTCTGGTAAGAAGCTGCAAGTTCCCTGACATCTCTCAGCAGGACACGGTCTGTTGGTGCCCTTCCCAGAGGCCGGCAGAGCAAGGCGGTGGCCTTGTCCAGAGGGAGTAGGTCCTGCCACTGCTTCCCTCCAGGTGCCAGATGTGTCCAAGCCTCGTGGGATGTGACTGAGCCATCGCTCTTTCTGGAGGTGTTTGGAGATGCACAGCTGTTTGTTAGAATGAGTCAAAACAGTAGCTCTGGTACAAAATATTTTATTGGTTGGAATAATGCCTCTGTTTTTCAGGGTTCTTTTGCTACTTCTTGAATATTCACACAGAGTTAGCCCCCATGAAGATTTACAGAGGGCGCCCTCTCAGCTGGAGCTCTGGGCATTGTTTGCTTACAAGGGTTATCTTGGCTTTGTTTTAGGGTTCTCTCCTGGCCTGCGTGGCTTTCGTCTCAGAAAGGCCAGTGTGTAAGAGCAGGCCTTTACCAATGGCCCACGTGGGGTGGTTTTGTCTGCACTGTCACTTGAGTTCATTCTCTTTTTTTCCTCAGGGCTCCCTTAGGAGGACCTGGGCCACCTGGGAATAATGTGGTTGGAGGGTCTCTACTGGCCAAAGGGATGGCCACAAGCATCCACCCAGGTGGTGGGAGCCTGAGCAGCCCTGCCACCGCCACGAGAGCAGCCCTCCCCCTCGCCACACCCCAGGCCCAGCACCAGGCAGCCTCTCCCCCGGTGGGCAGTTGTCTGTGGCACTCAGCTCCCCCAGCGGCTAGCCAGGCCCGGAGCACAGTCCCCACAGGTATGTACTAGTCTTTTGGGGCCTCAATCTCTGGGAAATTTGCCAAGGGGCTGGGGTCTCAGGTACACAAATCGTAGAAACATTCTGGCCTAGGTCTCAATCAGTTCACAGCGGGAATGGCTTGTCGTAATCATTGACCCTGCTGATGTCCAGGAGATATGACTTACCCTGTCCTGGAAACTGAAACTGATGAGCAATTTATATATTTGGCTGCAGCAGGAGGACCGAGTGCACTGATAAGATTAACAGCCTCAGTTAAGCGGTGTGGCTAGGTGGGCTCTGGCTCTGTGGGGAGATTCCGTTGGGGGCACCTGCGATGGGGCAGGGAGAGTGGGAAAGGCTTCTCTAAAGAGTCTATCCCAGAATGAGCAGCAGAGTGACACTCAGGTAGGAACAGAGAAGGGTGCCATTTGAAGCAGGAGGAAAGGAACATCGAATAGAAGTGGCAGAAAGCAGTCTTCTTCAACCAGCAGCAAGAAGTTCAGTAAAGACCGAGCTGACGGAGGCCTGGCTGAAGGTGTGACTTGGGAGTCGGCAGGCCTATTTTGAATGCTGGGGCTGCCGTGGCCCCACTGTCTTCTGCTGAAAGACGCACTTACCTCCACGGACACTGTGAAGGCATTGACATGGCATATACAGTATGTACGCAGTACACTGCAGCTGTTTTATTGTTCTGTTAGAGAATAAGAATATTATTGGAGTACTAGATGCATGAGAGTAAGAAGAAAACATGAGTTACCACAGGACCAGGGGTTGTATTCTCTCTTGAAGGCAGTGGGGACCCACCATGAGACTTGAAGCCCGAGGGTTGACACTGTAGTGAATGTTAGCAGGCACAGCAGGGAGAAGAGGTGGTGTGGGCAGTCTGAGGCCTGGAGCCAGGAGAAAGGGGTTGCTGTGCCAGGTGAGGTGGCGAGGGCCTGGATCCAGTGGGTGGAACTGGGACAAGATAATAAGCTGCTCAGGAGGCAGAGTGGGTGTGACTTGGAGATGCTCTGGGTGGAAGTGCTCAGGGGAGTGAGGAACCAAGTCCCGTTCTCAGCTGGCACCAGTGGACTCGGGGGATGACAATGGCATCCCCTGACCTAGAAAAGACCAGAACAGGACTTGTTGATAGAGGAAGATAATGACATGTGGCTTTGGGAGATGCAGTGGGTGCTAGTCACACTGTGGCCCACTGGTTGATTTGGAACTGCCTCCCTAAGGGGGACTCCCATCCCGTGTACGAGTCCTGCCTGCCATGGTAGGAGGCAGCCCCTGCTTCCTCAGCCGCCTGTCAGGCCAGGTGCAGACACTCACCTGGACTCTATGTGTGTCCTCCAGTCAGATGCCAGGAATGTGAGATGCCGCGTGGATCCCTTTGGGGATTCAGGAGATGGTGAAAACATCCTGGCTTTTCAGGGGCCGCAGGTGGACTTGCAGTGCACAGTTCCCGATCACCAGTGGGTGCAGGGTGGACTTCGGATGCCTGTGTCTGGCATGCTGGGTGGTGTCTGTGTCCAGCAGTCATGGGATCTGGCCCAGGGAAGCCTCATGGATGGGTTGGGCACTTCCCTGGCTGGAGAGCCTCCGAGACTGACCCTGCAGTCCCTGTGAGTGCCTAGCAGTCTTTCATATGTAACTGAATTCTGTGTCTGGTCGCTCTGGCCGCCGGGGGCTGGGGAAGAACTGGCTGTCTATGCACTGAAGGAGTTTGGCAATCGCATCATCTGATGCCAGACCTCCTAGCCCCAGCTGCTACCTTCTGATCAGCTATGCTTCTGGCTTAAGTTCATCTGACGCTGCTGAGTGGGCGCCTCCAGCTGAGGCCCTTGTAGTAGCCAAGTGTTGGAGTGAACCCACAGCAGAGCTTCTTGACTGGGGTTCTACTCCAAAATACCCATCTCCTTGGCCCTTGGAGGACCTGGGAAGGACCTGGGGCACCTAAAGTCTCAGACCAGGTCCCTTCAGGTCCCACTCCCCCATACAGATATTTCTGTGTGCACCACCACAGCCCTGCTTCTCACTGAGAGTGCACACCCAGCACAGCAGCCCTGGGTTCTCTGCAAAAAATGCCAGTATAATGTCCTTTCTATGCCATGGCTTGCTCACAACTTCCCAGTTCCAAGAAAAAAAATGAGACCTGCTGGCCATTTCTCCCTCTGCAGAATAACAAGCTGAATCCAAAGGAATTGGCATGGCCAGGGCAGGACAACATTGTATCTCAGCCATCCATCACCATAGTAACTACCATGGTGGAACAAGCTTTCTCTTCCATCAGTTTAATTCTAGAGATGGGAAGAGTGGCGCACAGGGTGTAAAATATTTTGCCAATTGCATTCCAAACCTAATACTTGTCCCCACATTATTGCTGTCACAGCCAGGTTAAAGAAAGGCTCCTACTGCATCTTATCAATAAATTAAATGCCACTGAGTTCCCACAGCACTTTCCACTTTACTCTGCATTTTGCAAGAGAGAGAACAAAAAACTGTTGACAGTACAAGTAATGTATTGTCAGGGCTGCAATTACCCATCTTAGTAGACCCCGACCTAGGCAGTTGAGAGGCATTTCATTAGTGCACTCATCTCGAGCCAAAGTCAGGGAGTTTGACAAAAGCATCCAATATGATTTGTTCTACTTAACTAATGTAACTCCTTTTTTAAAGGGCAGTTCTCCCCATTAAGTATAGTGTCCACATAGCCTCATATCAGTGCTTAGTAGGGGCAAGAGCCCTGTGCAGCCATATATTCATCAGCAAACAGTACTGAAAAAGAACTCTGTACACACCAGGCTCTGCTGGGGTCTGGAAATGCAGAGAAGAACCAGATGGACCCTTTTTCCACCCCCGATTAGGGATAAGGGGAAGGGAACTTTCAGTAGATTTTGAAAACCACTAGGATGGAAGGTATTAAGAAAGCGTGGAGAGATAGTGTACTCAGTCTGGAAGGAAAGTAGGAGAGAGATGGAAGAGGTTTATGGAAAGTTTTCAAGAGGAGGTGACACTGCCTTGAATTAAAGCAGAGAGGACATTGGGGCAGAGGGACTGGTGAGGGCACAGGCATGGTGATGATGAAGACCAGTCCCTGCTGTGGTAGCCTCACGGAGTTGATGTGACTGACAAAAAGCATGGAAGGAGAACAATAGTAACTCTCTCTCTACTGAAGCAAAATTTGCTTTTCGATCCCAAAGATGAGTAGATGAACATGCAGTGGTGGATGATGTGATAGTGAAGCTAGAGCAGGACTAAAACCAGGTCCGGGGGAAGAACAAGGAATGCAGGAGGGTATGTACCTGTCTTGTGGTAACACTGAAAAGGTGTGCAGGGGCAGACCATGAGGTTCTTTTAGGCTATGTCAAGGAATTTCAGTTTTTATCCTAAGGGCAAAGGAGCATATTAAAGGGTTTTCAGTAATAGATATAATCATATTTTTTATCTAAAAGATAAAGTAAGACTTTTCTCAATTTTAGTTATTTATTTTATATTTTATTAAAGTTGAGATACAATATTATATTTTTTTCAGGAGTACAACATAGTGATTTGACATTTATATCCTATACTAGAGGCTCAGTGCATGAAATTCATGCACGGGGGGGTGGGGGTGGGCTCAGCCTGGCCTGCACCCTCTCTCAATCTGGGACCCCTCAGGTAAAGTCCCTAGGCCTGACCAGTGATCAGGGCCTATCAGGGCTTTCCTTCCCTGTGGGGCAATCGATAGTGGAGCCCCCAGATCGATTGCCCCACAGAGGGAGGCCCTGCCCATCCACGGCAGCACCACCAGCCGGGTGGCCTGAGCCTCCAGACCACCATGGTGGGGTGATCAATCAGGGGTCGGGGGGAGGGCAGATACACAGGATGACTGGCTCAGAGGAACTAACTATTCAGCCAAAAGCCCTAAGCTGGGCTCATGGCTGGCAAGTGAAACAGTGATGGCAGGAGCCTCTCCTGCCTCCGTGGCAGTTGGACATCCCCTGAAGACTCCTGGACTGCTAGAGGGTGCAGGCCAGGCTGAGGGACCAGCCCCTGAGTGCACGAATTTTGTGCACCGGGCCTCTAGTGTCTTATAATATGATCACCACACTAAGGCAAGTACCCATCTGTCATACAAAGTTATGGCAATAGAATTAACTGTTCTATATTTCCTCATGACATATATTTTCTTATAACTGGAAGTGTGTACCTCTTATTCCCCTTCACCTTATTCACCCCATCCTGCTACCCTCTGGCAATCATCAGCTTGTTCTCTGTTTCTATTGGTCTGTTTTTGTTTAGTCATTTATTTTCTGTTTTTAAATTCCTCATATCAATGAAATCATATGGCATTTGTTTTTCTCTGACTTATTTTACCCACTTTGTCCATCCATGTTGTCTCAAATGGCAATATTTCATACATTTCATTCTTTCTTGGCCTGCTTAATATTCCACTGTATATATTATACATCTTATATAAATACTTATACATATATATGTATATCATATCTTCTTTATCCATTTCTCTATCAATGAAAACCTAGATTGCTTTTTCATGGCTATTGTAAATGCTACAATAAACATAGAGTTACACATATCTCTTTAAATTAACGTTTTCATTTCCAGTGGGAAGGTAAATCCTGTCCTCATTACATTATCTTAGCCATAAGCAGAAATCTAGTTTCATATGACGCAGTATTAAATACCCAGACATGGAATTTTGTGTCATATGAAACTAGATTTCTGCTTATGGCCAAGATAAAGTAATGAGGACAGGATTTACCTTCCCAGTGGAAATAACCAAAAAAAGCAGATAAATTTATAAAGCAAGAGTTTGTGAGACAATAGATATCAGAAAACCACAGAAATGATTCAATTAAAATGATGAACACAGAGGTGGGCCCAGCACACTGCCTAGAGAAGATTTCAGACTGCAGCACAAAGAGGAAACTTCCAAGGGTGCAGGGCATCCCTCTGGGTAGTTCACTGAGAACTAATCAGCATATGCATGTGAGGAGACTACCCAGAGCCAAGCAAAGAGTGCAAGGAAG